CAACATGCTAGGCTTTCTCAAAAAAAAACCCAACCATCCAGGGACTTACAGTTACCTGAGGAGGAGATATCACCCTGAGTTTTCCATCACTCTGTGACTCTCTGTAAGTACCTGTCCGACCTACCTGACAGGCTAAGGACCATCTGGAAACCAAGATTTTAATTTTTGTGTCTCTGAAAGGTGATTGGTATCAAGGGCACTGTCATTATTCAGTAACACTGAGGATTTTTTTTGTGTTACACCATACATAAATTCTGAACCTTCTCTTACCCCCTTCTCTTACCTTATACAACCTGAGACTTTTTTTTTCTTCTTTAAAAAAGGCATAAGGTGTTCTGAGGTTGTTACTTTCTGCTGATTGCCCCCAGCACTATCTCCTTATATTAAAAAGGAAAATCTATAGCAGCAGTAACGTCTTGGCTAGCTGAGTTTTTTCTCCTCTAGAGAACATTCCCAGAAGTTCCCTACCTATATTTGTACATATTTGCATTTTTTTACATAAGTAATAGGGAAATCCCATGTAACTGTTCATTATGATAAAGACAGCAGCAATCTTAAAGAGAATTTGAATAGGGCTATGAGACATTATAAATCATAAGGCACATAAAGTAATTAAAAGCTGCTCATTAAGTCCTGCATTGAAAAAAAACAGTTCGATTAAAGAGCAAGGACCAACACAACCATCTTATGTTCGTGCCAGAGGAAACTCACATTCGGGCTGCAGCAGAAAATGGATGCTCTAACAAACATAGCAGGGCTGGAGAGAAACTGGTAGAATAGTGTGTCTGAATATGCTGCCTCTCATCTTCAAAAAATGACAGACACTGAAATATAAATGATCCTATTTGAACATAGCCTGGCAGGCTGGAAGTGACTGCTACAGATGAATAATGGAGGATACAGACAGGTCTCTGCTCTGTAGACTATACACACCCTTAAAAAGTTTAAGAAATTTTATCCCCTTCAGTAAACAGAGTCTAACAAACAGATCTAGTTTCTGTCTTCACCTCTTTATGAATTGATTAAATGTAATCCGATCAAGGTTTCATTCTCTGATCTGTGAGATGCTGTTTGTTCTTCCAAATCTGTATTTGCCTATCTGACCCTCATATGGTGATTGTACTTCAAAGCTAGTATACAAGAGGTATCACTTACACCTTTATTTTTCTTTTTGCTTTGTATTTTTTTTTGGAGGTCAATGAACATGTTTGCCAGCTAATAAAATGCTACGAGTAACATCTTATCATTTAAAACATTTAATCTTAGCAATATTAAAAATGCCACAAGAAATTCCAAACATTAGCTGAAGTAGTACATCTGATTGAATTATTACAGACACTTAGAACACCTGCATTGCAGTTACATTTAAAATTCAGTCCATATACTAAGCCAACTTTGTGAGTCATGAATTCCATTGTTTCTCAAATACATTTGGAACCAGATAAAAGAATGATGGTTTAGGATCCTATCATCTCCTCAATAATTTTATGATCACTCTTGTTAATACTTCCAATAAAAAAAACAAGCCCACTGCTATCACAGGTGAATGGAATGAGAAATCAATCAAAATGGCAGTGAAAGTGAATTTAGAAGCAAAAAATAAGTAGGATGAAGAAAACTAATGTGCCAACAGAAAGAGGGAATATTCAGACAAAATAAAAAATGAAAGTGACTGAAAAGAAATGGGCTAGCTTACAAAAAAATGGCTTAAAACAAACTAAAATAGCAACATAGATATTTAAAGATAGGAAAGCATTTAAAATGGGGAAAAAACAAAGCTCAAGAAATCCTCTAAAATGCATTGCAGGTAACATGCTTGTAGATACTGCCTTCAGTTCCAAGTGATTAATAAGAAGGTGGAATACCTTTGTGATAGGCAAATACAGAATAACTTGTCAAACACATGAAAAATCTAACCACCCTAGTCCCTGACAATTAGAACTGGCTTAATGTGCCAATTTCTAAATATATCTTAGTATATTATTTTCTTGTTGTCTGGTCTGTCTGTAGTTGAAGCCACCTAGAATTTTCCATTAAAACACTTTGTCCTCTTTTTGCCTTTTCTTGGTCTGTTTATGAATGCAGACACTAGTCTGGGCACTTTTTGTTTTTTTGTGTGTAAAATGGAATGCGGCTCATTCTATCGGTGAAGCCAAAAACTACACATCCAAGCAGCTGCACAGGTTCAGGAGCCTCACTACGAAGGATGGAGACATGGGACACAAAATGGGGATCGATACTAACTGCTAAGAACAGGATCTCACCTTGAGAGTAACAGGAGATTTCTTGAACAGTACCAGATGTGTTTAGAGGAAAGCAGTGTAAAAGAAGATTTTTCTTTTTTTTTCAGGAACTTTTGGGAGGATAAGATGACATTCAAATTTACTCTATATTTTTTAAAAGTCACATCCACTCCCTTGGTAGAAAATCTGAAAATCTGTGTGACAGAAAAGTACCAATTTGAGGACACCAGCACAGCACATTAGAGGTGGTTTGAAAAGAAAGTGTGTGTCCCACTGGAGAGAAAACATGTTACCACACACATTACAAAAAGAGTCCCTGCAAGGAAAGAACCATAAGTAACATTATATCATTCCCGAACTCCGGTCTGTGAAAAGAAACTTAGAGATGTAATAAGGAATAAATACTATACACAAATTACAGTACAATGTCTGTCAAAGGCACAAATCACTGGCCAAAGTGTGTGTGCAAATACACAAGTTTATGTGTGTAAAATCATTTACTTTAGTCCCTGGGTTCCTGCAAGAGCTTATAATAAAACCTGGCCCTCTTGCACAAGATCATAAACACTGCAGAAACAGCATGTACAAAAGCATATTTGATATTATTAGCCCTGGTTTGCTTCACAGTATTTCTTAGCTGTTCTTTCCAAAAGCTGGAGCTGATCACTAATTATCCAGCTCAGCGATCACAGTTTTGTCCTGGAATGCTAGGAACTGGAAACTTCTTGTCCTTTTACATTTTGCCAGGAAGGTCATCCATCTGAAAGCTCAAGAGATACGTACAGCCACATCTATTTTGCTTAATTAAAAACTGTTCACCTCTAAATAAGAAGACATCTTTTGTCCGTCTCAAGCTGAACACCAAGAATCTTGAAACATTCAAGACCATTGGTCATGTAAAAAAAAAAAAAGTCTTTTGCCTTTCCATTCATATGACCATTTACTTAATTTTATTTCCAGTCTGAAAATTATGCTGCATACCCAGGAATTCAGCAGGTCTACTGATATGCTTTCCAGTTTCACCAGGTATAGGGTGCTTCTCACTGACAATAACAGATGAGGAAACACTGAGGCTGTCTTATGCTTAGCTGTAAGATAGGAGTTCCTAAGAGACTGAGACATGATGGTTGTCATTTCTGGGTCTCAAACCAGAAGCTACAAGGTGTGTTTAGGTAATCCAATAAATGTCCAAAATCTGAATTTGAGATAACCTCCTTTTATAGGAATCTTATCCTAACATAAGCATCCAAAGCAGATTAAATGTGGGGCTTTTCCCCCTCCACATTAGCCTAGAGGAAGTCTAGTGTAAATGTATTTCAGAGATACAGTGTAAAAATTAATCAGATTCACTTAGCTAATAACTAATACCTACTAGCTAACCAGGAAAACTAGGCAATACTCAGAAGAGTCATGCATTAGAAAGAAATTTAAAGACCAGACAGAATATATCGTAAGGGACTGTATTCTTTGGATGAACAGAAGTATACTACCAGTTTCAATCCTATTCTACAGAATTTAGCAGAATAATATGCAGTTAATTAAAGCGGTTTCTAAATACAACCTAAGAAGAAAGAATGTGTATTTTTGTGTGCCAAAATAAAGCCAAGCCCTCTATGCTGACTGCTATGGACTGTAAAAGACAGGTCACACAACCAATACACATAAGCAAACTATGTAAAAACTGCTGAAAGATACTTTAGTCACATCTCTACCATATTAAATAGTTCTTAATTAAAAGTAAAAACAAAACAAATGTGAAGAATTCTTTTAAATACCTAGCTATTAAGGTGCAGCAACATGAGAAATCTTTATATTAAGCAACTGTAAAGCATTTGCATGGAAATTATAGTAATTCATGCGAATGAGGTAGAGGTTTTAAATAACAGTGCTATTTGTCACAGTATCCCTTTAAGCAACGCTTCTTGAGAAGTGATGAAAAACACAGTTGTGACCAGTGGTCTAGCAAACAACTGAGTTGAAATATGAGATGAGTTTATTATAGGGGTTGTATATTGCTCCTCACAGTTACAAAGCGAAAAAGCATGTTTTCTTCAAAGGTGTTATGGCTGTTACATGAGGCTACATAGAGCCACACTGCTCAGAGGGAAAATAGGCAGGCATAGAGTTACAATCTCCAGATGTGTTAAGACAGAGTGGTTCATGGGAGAGTATGTTGCTTAGTAAGTAAAGGCTTATGATGAAAAGAAACCCCTGTAATCTTCATGAAGAGCTGACAATCTTCAGAAAAGTGATAGAAGAGTTTGAGTGCCTGTGTATCTAGAGGCCCACTTGTACAGTTTATTAAAATTGGTTCTCTGAAATTAGAGACATTCAAAAGCACTGGCTGAACTATCTTGAGTGTTATGTTTCACTGAGCTGATAAATTTTTTTTCTCTAATTTTATCCCATCACCTGTAAAAAAAACCCAACAAAAACTAAGCCAATGGATTTGAAGCAAGAGCTCCACATTTTTTCAATTTCTATTCTAGTCTAGTCTAATGTATTATTTTAATTTTAAACTTTAATTTATTATTTTTAATTTCATTTTATTTTCTATTTAATGTCAGATACAAATAGTGAACAAATCCCCTCAAAGAATGGACTTGCCCTTCTATAGGATGAGCAGTCATCACAATTCTATTGCATATGCAAAGGAGGATTAATTGGTGTCAGTAACAGACCCTTCACTCTTAGCAAGTGCTGGACTTGAGAACATGCATTTATGAGTACAGTGCAAATAAAAACACTTTTCCTTACCATAGGAGGCAGTGTCAGAATGAAGAAGCAGATCTTCCAGTTGATGATCATCTTCTCTCTTAATTTTGAACTGCAGTCAGGTTTTGCTTGTTAACACTATTATTCGGGCTGAAGCAGCCTCTCTGCAGAATTTTTCACCAAGGTCTTCAGGTCAAGGCTCAGATCTCTACAGTGAAAGAGGAAAATTAATATAAATAAACATGAAGAGAATGAAGAAGGAATGGACAGAGGACAGAGAATCCAACACTTGAACTGTGAGTTGTACGTAATATAGATCAACCATACTTGTAACCGTATTTGTGTGGACTCCAACTATCAACAGATGGTTTTGATACTTAATTTAAAGCCAAAGGATATGTTTTATGATCTGTTACTTGTATCATGGAAACTACTGAAACAGGTTCTGTAGCTGCAAAGACGTAAATTGTACCCAAAGAAAAAGGTAGGATGGATGGATGATTTTGAACCAGAAAAAGAACCTAACTGTGTGCTTCATTTCTGAAGTCATGACTTGCCCTTCATGATTTTCAGTAATATCTCAAAAGAACAGCTGTCTGGGGGCATTTTAGGAGACTGCATGACATGATGATTTACTCACACAGATCACTTGTCCAGGTAACAAAATATGTGTTTATAATCTGACGTCTTTTTGAGAATTTAGCAATACAGTTGCAAGGGAATGAACTGTATTGTAAGGTTAAAGATTCATCTGTAAGACAGGATTGACTTATACAGATGATAGTGTCATGAATATTTGACTTCCATCACTTGATCTTTGCCAAGGAGCTAGACAGGTAGTTAGGACATCAACAGAATTGCATAGCAGACATTAGCTCTGTCCTAGCAACTCCTGCCATAAGACAGTGTTTAAAAAATCCCACTCACTCCAAACCATAATTCATCAAACAGTTTTTCATTCAAGAAAATTTTCTCTCACCTGTCTAGTTGAGGAGGAGATTGACAGAGTAGCTTGGTGGGCAACTGGCATCCAACAAAGGTTAGCACACCACACCCCTTCAAGTGCATTTCTACCCTATAGACTTAATTTGTCCAACACAAGCTCAGCCAGAGGTCCTTTGGCAATGTCTATGAACTTAGGTGCAGCATTTCTACATAGAAAGGTGTGAGAGTTTAGCCACATGGGCATGAGCTGTGTCACACCAGCTTGTTTCAGAGCCAGAGAATTCTGTCTCATCTGTTTTATTTCCAAAAGAAGCCTTTGAATGCTGAGCCCCCTTTTTAAAATCTTCTTGTCTGATGTAGATTTCCTACATGCCACCACCTATCACCTCCATGGGCATAAACACAACCAACATTCATCTTCACAACTACAGAAAAATTTAAGCAGGTAAGAAAAAAATTGCAGAAGAAAATAAAGTCATTATAGATAGTAACAAGTCAGGGATACAGAACACAAACAATTAGAGAGAGAATACAGCCAGGGTGTATTGGAAAAACATTTAAAATAACAGAAGGAATGTGAGAAAATACAACAAAGGAGAAAACAGACCAAAGACAGAAATTAAATAAACAAATGACAAAGTCAAATGCAAATAAACTTCTATGATCAGGGGATACTCAATTTTTATACTGACTGTGACATACTGCCAAGACATCAGTATTCAGAAAAAATAAGAAATAAAAGAGGTTAATTAAGCTCTAACTTTTTGTCTTCTCTATCCAGACCCTGACTAACCAGAGAACAATGATTCATAAAATTCCCTCTAAACAGATCTGCTTTCTGCCATCCTCACTCAATCAGTCACTCGTGCTCTGCTCTGGTACTGAATTTAATTACTTAACTGTATTTCTGATGGTTTATCAAATAATGAAGGCCTGATAAGATCTCAGCTGAGGAGGACAGCAAACATCTGTGGGTGAAATTCAGCAGTGAGGAGCTGGAAAAACAAAGTCACTCCATTAACAGAAGCAGCAGAAAACCAGACAGATGCATTAGCAGACATTGGAGTTAAATCTTCTTCTTGATCATTTGCACTCCTGCGTGCAGGCCAGTACAGAAAGGGCAGAGAGTGGTGTGGAGATTGAATTCTATCCTCGGATTCTGCTACCATAATACAACAGAAATATGATGTAAATACAAAAGGAGAGAGGGAGATGACTGACTAAGCAGATAGAAAGATGGACTGCAAGAAGGTGTTAACTTTCAGAATACATGCTTCCCAATATTCGAAGACCCAGTTTTACTTTAACCTGGCATTAACTGGGCTTGAAAAGTGGAGAGTGGATGTTTTATGTTTTATCTTAGTTTCAAAGGAACTTCTAAAAAGACAACATGAACATCTGCAAACCATTTCCCTGCTTTTCTTTCACATTTTGCAGAGAAAGTAAAAGAATCAACTTCATTTTTGCTTTCAAGGTAGTCATGGAAACCTGCATAAAAACTGGGCTGAGGCCTTCATATCATTCACAGGGGCTCAAGTGTTTATTAGGCAGTAACAACTACCAGTTCTGTGAACTTCTACCCTGGACCTGCAACAGAACCTGTATATATTGTTTAGCAGCTCCTAGCATGTATGATATACGTAGGTGCAGAGTGCACCTATTACAAAGAAAAGGCACAAACAGCGACTATCAGCTAAGTTTTATGAGAAAAATTAACTTTTCTAAAAATACAGGGAATTTTTATAAAGCATTTCCATTCATGGGAAAGATATAAATATATGAATACAGAATTTGTAATGGAAGTTTGAATTATATGTTGTCTTCTAATGTCAATGGTAGCCAAATAGGGTTTGGTTACCAAATGCAATAGGGTAGAATTTGGTAGCCAAATTCTGTAATCCGATTAGTAAATTAGAGATACTGGTGCTTTATACTGGGGTGAAAAAGAAAGAAGATGCCAAGGAGTATGCTCCAGCCATCACCAGTCAGTCTGGCTCACAGATCACTCCCCTGACATTTCCAAGTTCTCCTCAGAGACAAGAACTCCACAGCTGTTTATGACACAAATTTTGCTAGAATGACATCTTTGGTTTATATATGAAGAGGTAATTATGTCATTGATACTCTATTTACTGTCTTTGGTCTTTCAATACAAGGTGTGAAATCCATTGCATTTTATTATTTCCCTCCTAAAATGCCAGCTTCATAATTTATATTAAAAGTCATGATGAACCTTCCTCATGTCACCTGGGACACCTGCTAGCAAGAAATAAGCATAGCTGGGGAAGAAACCCTTCAGTGATGTGTCACCTAATTTTAGAAACCTAGAAGACACTCATATGACTTCCTTATAAAGTCTCTTTTCATATAGTCAATGGAAGGATGTAAACATAGGAAGAAAACAGTTTGTCTGACCTGTTTTAGCTGTCTACTTTACATTTTCGACTTCTCTCCTGTGAGTGCAAAGGAATTTTTAACAGCTAGCTCATATGTTGATATCTACATTGTAGATATCTAAATTTGGACAGAATAACTCTACCTCCAGGCTCTTCTGCAGTATATGGATCTGCAATATGAAATCCAAAATAGTAAAGTTTGACCTACCACAAAGGCTTAAGAAGGAATCAGTAAGTTGGTGCCAATAGCATAGCCAACAGGGCCAGGGAAGTGATCATCCCCCTGTACTCAGCAGTGGTGAGGCCACATCCTGAATACTGTCTTCAGTTCTGAGCTGCTCGCTACAAGACATTGAGGTGCTGGAGTGGGTCCAGAGAAGGGCAATGAAGCTGGCAAAGGGTCTGGAGAATAAGTCTTATGAGGAATGGCTAAGGAAACTGGAGTTGTTTAGTCTGGAGAAGAGAAGGCTCAGGAGGGACCTTATCACTCTCTACAACCACCTGGAAGGAAGTTGTAGTGAGGTGGGATTGGTCTTTTCTCCCACATAACAAGTGATAGGACAAGAGGTAACAGCCTCAAGCTGCACCAAGGAGGTTTAGATTGGATATTAGGAAAAATCTCTTCATCGAGAGAGTGATCAGGCATTAGAACAGGCTGCCCAGGGAAGTGGTGCAATCACCATCCCTGTAACTGTTCAAAAATCGTGTGGATGAGGCCCTCAGTGATAAGGTTTAGTGGTGGACTGGCCAGTCCTGGGGCAATGGTTGGACTTGATGATCTTTTCCAACCTAGCTGATTCTATGATAAATAACAAAAAATGTAAGAATATTTAACTGAATACCTGACAGCAAGAGCTCTAAATTTTCCCACAGAAAGTAGTCTATAAGGGACAATCCTACTGAGGCAAACAAAAAGAACACCACCATGGCCCTTCTACTGTCTTTAATACACCACTTATTATTTCTTGAGTTTAAATATCATGGTTATTTTCCCACAATTTACTTGCATTAATCTTTATAAATTTACTGAAACTAAAGTATTACCATGGATCACAGAAGCTGAGAATCCTACCTTTTTTTTAAAAACCAAAAAGACATTTATTTTTCCCTTTGTGTGCTTAACTGCAAAAGTCCCTAGTGTCCTTGTTTCCACTCACCATGTCTGCTGTCAATGACAAAACAGGATTTAAAGGGTAATTTCATCAGGAGGTCTAAAAGGTGGATTTTCAGAAAGGATTTACTGATACAAGGTACAAGTCAGCCCTTTTCGGCTATACATGAATGTGTTGAGGGCCTCAAGCAGAAATGCCATCTTTGTTGAAAGAGTTGGCAACCAGCAATCTTGATTTGATCATGGGATTGTTCATAAAGGAAGGGTGCAGTCTGTAGCCATTGTGCTAACACATGAATTGCTTTCGGGGGGGAGGGGGGGATTGGTTATGTCCTACAAAATCTACATTAATGCCAGAAGCAATCAAGTAGTCTCTTCTAATATCCAATGTTTTCACTATTCAGGAAAATTGTTGCTTTTGACTTTGTGAAACAATTTTTTTAAAAGGACCTAACACAATGCTAGCAGCAATTTTGCATGGAAATAGTTGAAAAAAATATATTCAATTTGCTGCCTGGCTTAGGCATTATGGTGTTAAAGAATAAACAAGTCTATCAGCAATACTTAATCCATTTCCTATATGGAGGAATATTTTTTTGATTACTACTTTTCCTTTATAGGGTGCAGAAAACCCCTATGAATATTGCTAGAACTCCTTTTTTAAAAATGAAGTTAAAGGTGTGATTACAAAATTAGGAGAGATGATAAATTGCAGATGCTGTGGCTTCCATATGAAAATGAGAATCCAGCTGTTCA